AGGGATTGGGGGGGCTCAGGGAGTTGGGGCCATGTGGAGCAGGGATTGGAGGGGCTAGGGGAGCAGGCAAGGCTGGTGCAGGTCCTGCCCACGGTCCCCTCCCCCCTCTTCCAGCCCCCTGACCCCTTACTTACCTGCAGTGGAGCCTGGGTCCAGCCCCCTGCAGCTGGCATGCTGCCTGCCCTCATGGGCAGGCAGAGTGCTTCAGCACCGGGGCGAGGGCTAATCACAGAGATGCTCTGCCAGCCAGGATGTCTCTATAGAGGACCCAGTATCTGATTGCCACTTTTTTTCCCTCTGTGGGGTTTTTTGTCTAATTTTGCCCCCATGCTGCAAATTTGCAGCGCAGGGAACATTTTCTCATTCCTGCATGTACCTCTTGCAGCGTCTCAAAGGGGTTTGACATGCTGCAAGAGGCATGTGCGGGCTCATCTGGATGCGCCCCATGAGGTTATCCAGTCCAGTTCCCTGCTCAAGGTAGGATCCCTGGCTAAACCATCTGAGCCTCGTCTGTCAAACCTGGACATTTCACAACTTCTCTAGGTAACCTGTATAATGCTTGCCCGCCTCATAGTCAGAAATCTCCTAATCTCTAACCTAAATTTTCTCTGATTCTCAGTTTAAGGCCATTGGGTATCTATACACAAGCCTGACACCTGCTCTGACGCATTCTAATTAACTGAGTCTGCTGGGTCATTCTAATTACAACACACCAGCAGCTTCAGCATCATGTGTATTCAGCGCCCCTGCATTTTAAAATGGTGGCGGGGGTGCTTTAACTAAAGCTTGTTGAAAGCTTTAGTTAAAGTGCTCCCGCAGCCATTTTGAAGTGTGGCATGGTGAATACATGAGACACTGTGAGTTTTAATTAAAGCAGCTCCTGAGAGCTGCTCTAGTTAAAACGCCTCTCCCTAACTCTGGAGCATGTGTAAAGATGCCATTGCTCCTAGTCCTGGACCCTGCAGCCACAGAGAAAACTCTGTCTCCCATCCTCTTGATAATCACCTTTCAGGTATTTGAAGACTCTTATCAAATCCCCCTGTAGTCTTTTCTCTAGATTAAATAATTTCAGCTCTATCAACCTTTCCTCATCGGTCCTGCTTCCCAGACCCTTAATCATTGTTGCATGGAACTCTTTCCAATCTGTACACATCTTTCTTAAAGCCTGGGGCCCAAAACAGGACACAGTACTCAAGATTTCATAGACATTAGGGGCTGGAAGGGACCTCATGAGATTGTGTCCAGCCCCCCTGCCACAGGCAGGAAGTCTGCAGGGATCAGATAATCCCAGCAAGATAAACATCCAAATGCCTTTTCAATGAGTCCAGAATAGGTGCTTACACCACCTCTGGGGGGAGTCTGTTCAAGACCTTGGACACTCAGACTGTAAAGAAGTTCTTATCGAGTCTGAATCGGCCCTCTAGAAGTTTGTGGCTGTTGGACCTAATTATCCCTTGGGGAGCCCTAGTGAACAACTGTTCTCCCAGATCCTGGTGCACCCCCCTTATATACCTATAGGCAGCCACCAAGTCCCCCCTGAGCATTCTGCATCGGGGGCTCATGTTCATCTTGTGGTCAATCCAGAACCCCATGTCCCTTTCAGTCGCGGTGCTAGTGAGCATAGCACTGCCAAGCCTGTAAGTATGATGCTGTTTTTTTTCTCCCAAGGTGGAGTACCCTGCATTTCTCTACAATGAATGCCATCAGGTTTTGGTCTGCCCACTTTGCAAGCGTGTCCAGGTTGACCTGTATCCCCAGCCTGTCCTCCAGCATGACCACCTTTCCCCAGAGTTTAGTGCCTCCACGAACTTTGCCAGTTCGCATCTGATGCCCGAATCCAGGTCATTAATGAAGATATTGAAGAGTACTGGCCCAAGCACTGAGCCCTAGCCTGAGCCTGATGAGGCCTCACCAGTGCTGAATAGCGACAGAATCACTCCCACCCTGATCTGCCAGTGACATTCCTGCTAATGTAATCAATATGCTGTTAGCCTTTTTTGCAAGAGCATGTGGTCAGTTCATATTCAGCTTAAGATCCACTACAACCCTTCTTTGCACTACTGCAGCCTAGCCAATCATTCTCCAAGTCTGTTTTTGTGCCCGCAATTATTCCATCCCAAGTGCAGGACTTTGCACTTGTTCTTGTTGAATCTCACCTGACTGGTTGTGGACCATTTTTCCAGTCTATCCAAGTCCTGGATCTTTACCCTGTCCCCAACAGAGTCTGCAGCTCCACCCAACTTGGTAGCATCTGTAAGTTTGCTAAATGTGCAATCCCATCATCCACATCATTAACAAAGATGTTAAACAACATCAGGCCCCTGGAGATCCCCATTTGATACCTCCTTCCAAACAGATACTGAGCCATTGATGACTATTCATAATAAGAGATAATAAGGGATAACATAATAATAAGGAATTTTATTTCCAACAAAAAAATGTATTCAGATATATGTGCTGCACTCACCTGGATCATAGGACTCCATAAAACCAAACGGGCCATAATCTATTGTTATGGATAACAAACTGAAGTTATCTGTATTGCACACACCTAGAATTACGCAACAATAAAAACAAATATCAAAACAATGAAGCTTTTTAGTCTCAGGACAATATATCAGAATTCTATTAGAAAATTTGCTGAAAGGCAAGTGCACCGGATCTAGATCACAGTAGGTACTTTTATACCCATACCACTTTAATCTGCATATAAAGGGGAGCATCAAATAGACAGGCTGAAATAAATAGTATTGATAAAACTGCAATATTTGCTATTAAAGATCAGCCATTTCTACAAATCTGATCTCTACATTTCCAACCCCTGGCACCAGGTTATCCAGCCCCACAGGACATGAATAGCCCTGCACACTCACTTGGACACACAGGGCACTGCAGGGCCCAATCCTGGCAAGTAGGTTAAGGAAGAGGCAATGTGGGATCTTAGAGCCTGATCTTGGCCCAAGGGGTCAAGTGGAAGTGGTGCAGGGCTCCAATCCCAGCATACAGGGCCAGATGAAATCTTTCCTTTATGTATTTGGTTTAAATAAACTATAAAGGACACACACACACACACACACACACACACTCTCTCTCTCTCTCTCTCTCTCTC